GCCAGTCACTATTGGCTGGCCTGCAAGGTTAACTTCACTCTGTCATCTATCTGCAGAGGGTTTACAGTGCAGAGTTCAGCCAGGCAGGTGGACCAGGGTCTGCATAAAGCAAGAGAGGAGCAGCAGGTCTAGGGGCACTCCAATCACATGTGCTCACATTCCTCCATCTTTCTATGCCAGGGTGGGGCATAGAAAAGGCATACCTGAAAAGGCAGCTGAGGTGGGCAGACAACAGTGGACTTTCCCCACAGAAAACTGAAACTCACATCCAATCTCACCCCAGACCCAAAGACTTCCTCTTTTTAGAGTGAATGTATTTATAGGGATTATTTGTTTGGGGAAAAATGAGATTCTTTTGGGTTCTTGTTCCTCTCTGCTATTAGCTCATCTACTCTATCACTATCATTCCCATATTTTAAGAGTTCTATTTGAAGAGGATATAAAGGCATCTACCCTTCAAATATCACATTAGGCCATCAACACAGGTCTCTTTGGAATCTGTACACAGTCACCAATTCCCATTGGTTGGGCCAATCTTAGAGAGGGGGAAATCACAAATTCTCCATATAGAGCCCCCACTGTGAACCAGTGCCGCCCCTACCCTACTCCAAGCTCTCCCTCTCCCACCTCCATCCTGAGCTGAGGCCTTGCTCTCATTGTGTAGCCCCCACAAGAGAAATTGAGGCAGATGAGCTTACACCAGAATCTAAAGAGAGGGCACCCTCCTCCAAGTCCCATGGGGCACAAACCAGATGATCACATGTCCTATGACTCTCTGGGGCCTAACTGGGCAGCAGGAAAGGGAGAAATGCAAGGAATAAAATAAATTGCTACGATAGGTTTTTATTACAAATTACCTAACCGCCTCTCAGAAAGGTTAGCAGTGTATAATACACCATCACCAAGCCTGTTTCCTTGCAATTCTTGCCAATCTGGATACCCCAAAGCAAAAACTATCTTTACCAAAATAAGTATATGAAGAAGGGATCTAATTCCACCCCCTATAAATTGTTAGAGAATATCATACCATAATTACTGAGCAACTAACTATAATATCGTAAATGCCTCATTATAAACTGGTATATAATAATAATTTTTCATTATTTCTTTGGTATATTTCTGCCCAGCAACTTTAGAACATAATTAAAGAACTGTTTTTATTTTAAGAAAGACTATAGAAGATAATACATTTTACTGAAATAGTTTATATTTTATAGATTTATTCATAATTTAACAAGGCTTTCAATTTTTAAACATGCAAAGGAAGACCTTTCAGCTCTAATTATATCAGTCTTATTTGTCATCTAAAAATATCTACTAATCACAGAATTTGATCAGTGATAAATACGATGAATTTTCCAAAGCCCTTTTCATTTCTCATAGATTAAACAACTCAGTTGCAAATTACTAATCATTTCTAATATTTGCACAGTTCTTTATTTACAACAACACATAAAGCATGGCAAAGTAATTACCATCACCCTATTAACAAAGGAAGATGCTAAACCAGTTAAAGCAATTGTCCGAGACCACACTTATACATGAAAGTGCCAGAATTAGACACTGGAGTTTTTGTAGCCTAATTTCTGTAGCCTCATCACTCAAAAGTAACCACATGTAATAATTACAACAACAACCACACAGGAAAAAATCTACAATGTTCAGAGTCAGACAATCCTTATTGAAATAATTGAAGACCATCTACTTCAACATCCTCATTTTACATGTAAAGAAACTCAGGCCTCTTCTAAGCACAATAAAGCATGAATTAGAACCAGATGTTCCTTAATCCAAATTTAACAATATTATAAACTAGCACTCCTTTTTTTTTTTTTTTTGATCCTGGGGATTGAACCCAGGGGCACTTAACCAGTGGGCCATACCCAGCCCTTTTTATGTTTTATTTTGGGAGGGTCTCTCTCAGTTGATTATGCTGAGGCTGGCTTTGAACTTGTGATCCTCCTAATTCAACCTTCTGAATTGCTGGGATTCCAGGCTTGCGTCACCATGCCAGGCTAAACTAGCATTCTTTAAGTTCAACAGTAGTCAATTACTAGAGTATACTGCTATTCTGAATTATTTAAAATTTGGGGTTTACTCTAAAACCTCAAGGACTGGGGGTGTGGTTAAGACATAGAGCATTCACTTAATACATGTGAGGCCCAGGGTTCAATTCCCAGCACCCCCAAAACAAAACAAGCCCCATGATGATCTAGGCCTGTAATCCCAGTGGCTTGGGAGGCTGAGACAGGAGAATCATGAGTTCAAAGCCAGCCTCAGCAATGGCGAGGCGCTAAGCAACTCAGTGAGACCCTGTCTCTAAATTAAATACAAAATAGGGCTGGGGATGTGGCTCAGTGGCTGAGTGCCCCCAAATTCAGTACCCAGTACCCACCCCGCAAAAAACCAATTCAAGTCCAGAGGCTGGGGTTGTGGTTCAGTGGTAGAGTACTTGCCTAACATGTGTGAAGCACGGGGTTCAAGTCTCAGCACCATGTATAAATAAAAATATAATAAAGGCCCATCAACAATTAAAAAAAAATTCTGTTTTTTGTGTGGCACTGTGGATTGAACCCAGGGCCTTGTGCATGTGAGGCAAGCACTCTACCAACTGAGCTATATCCCCAGCCCCAAAACTAAAAAATATATATAAAAAAATTGAAAATTTCAAGTCCAGCCGGGGGCAGCTCCTGTAATCCCAGAGTTTTCGAGGCTGAGGCAGGAGGATCACAAGTTCAAAGCCAGCCTCAGTGAAAGTTAGGTGCTGAATAACTCAGTGAGACCCTGTCTATAAATAGAATACAAAATAGTGTGTAGATGTGGCTTAGTGGTCAAGTGCCCCTGAGTTCAATCCATGGTAACCCCTCACCCGCCAAAAAAAAAAAAAAAGAAAAAGGGCTAGATGTAGCTCAGGGTAACTAGAGAACTCCTGGGTTCAATGCCCAGTACCACAAAACAAAAATAAAAACAAAACCTTGATGTACTGATAACTCAAGAAATAATTATCCAGTACACATTATGTACCAGGACCCATGTGTGGTGCCCTATCTGACTGAATATTCACTATATACTAGAGAATACAATGCCTGCGTTTTTCACATTCAACCCTTATAATAAGTAGCATTATAGGATTAAGTATGATCATTCTCTCAATTTTAATATTTAAAATTTAGGCCAAGTGATGAACCCAGTCTTATTCCATTTTAAGACTGGGAGCCATCTCGTCACAAAGTCATAAAAAGTTAATTTCTGTTTTACTATAAATTATTGCGATCTCTAAACTTGTTTGGAATTCCTGCCCATGCCTTGAACTCAACCATGCCTGGCTTTCCCTGACCAAGTAACAACCCTCTCTGAAACCTCAATGGCACTTCATAAATTCTGATGGATCTAACTTTATACCCTACCTTGAAATGTTAAGCCATGTAGATCATTAACCTACTATCTGCCTTTGTATTATGCTTGTCAAAATCCTGTTATCTGTAGGTTCTCAAGACATCCCCCTTTGTGATTTTTTGTGCTATGAAACTGTGTTCCTAGACAGCTGGGGTACTGATCTCTAGCCCAAGGTTTTCGGAGAGACAGTCCTGGCCACTTCCTGTGTACACAAATATAAGCTTGCTTTAGTTTAATTCAAAATTGGAGTTCAGTGGTCTTTTCTTTGCATCGTGGATTAACACAATCATGGTGGCACATATCTGTAATCCCAGTGACTTGGGAGGCTGAGACGGGAGGACTACAAGTTTGGGGTCAACCTCAGTCATGTAGGGAGATCCTCAGCAACTAGTAATAGCCCATCTCAAAATAAAAAATAAAAAGGGCTGGGAATGTAGCTCAGTGGCAAAGTGGCAAAGCACCCCTGGGTTAATTCCCGGTATCTAAAAGTTGAAAATAAAATTTAGAAAGATTAAGTAATCTGTCTATGATCTTCAGTAAGGAAATACATTTATAAAAAGTTAAAAATGTAATCAAATATAAGTACATTTATCCTAATATTTTTGCAGCATTATAACTCTATGTATGATTTCATCTGGAAAAAAGGGTCTATTATCAAAAATATTCTGAAACCACAGATCCCTAGGTTGCATCTAACAGTATGTATACAGTTAGAATAGAATTGGGGTATTAGATTGGAGGTCAGGGACCATTTACGAAGGGCTTTAAATAGCCTTATTTTTTGTCTCTTTGTGACCCTAGAAGAGACAGCACTTGAAGTAATCTAAATGAAAGCCAATAATTATGAGGAAATGGATGATTTCAAATATGAGATAAGAGGAAGGGCTTCTGGTACCATCTAATGAGTTGTGGCCTGAAGAATATTAAAGTCCAAAGTACAAGAATTCACAAAGTTCTCTTAAGTATTACTGCAAAAGAGTATTTTAATACTGATTACCTACTTTCAGAGCATTAAATCTCTGTGGTATATGACTAAATTAATTAAAACTTTCATTTACTGTCTTTCCCAACAGGAATTCCTTTATCTTTGATTGCTAAGTAGATTTCACAAGGTCTCTATCAAAAAAACCCAAGTGCCCAGCAGTGTAATTGTTACGGAGATTTAAAAATTATTTTGTAAATAAATTAGAACATGATGATTTTTTTCCTGGCAGTATGGGGATCAAACCCAGGGCCTTCTGCATGCCAGGCAAGTGCTTAGCCAGATCAATGTAATGCTATCCTTAAAAGCAGTATTCACCTTCAGGCTAACCTAAAAGGAAAGAAGGACCCTGAAATATAATTGAAATATTAAGACATTTCTTTCAGGGAAAATTAATTTTACAAAGTGGTTTACTGCTTCAGGGAATACTGGTATAGGGAAATCAAATCAAGTGATCATAAAAGACAAAAACAAAAACACTTTGCCTTCCCCCACCATACAGGGTGTGGTATCCCAGCTATAATTCTATAGGCATAAACCAGAGACTAAGAAAAGGCACTCTGATAAGTAATCAATCACAGCTGAATTAATCACATGCAATATTTCTAATATAAATGGTTACCTGAGAAGTCTGTCAGAAGTCTTGGTAGGACATGCTTGTTTACCAGTTCAGTCTTGCTAAGGCTGGAAATAATATCTACCCTAGTTTCTTTGATAATAGTGGGCTTTTTGGAAATCCCAAGATCAGAGCCAGTCTTAACATCTGTATGTTCTAGGATGTCATCTGATCTCTGTGGCCAAGGTTCTGGAGCAAATGTCTGCTTGAGTCTTTCTTCAGAAGGAGATTCTTCACCCTGCACAGAAGGTAGCTCCTCACCCTGCCTTTCACCTAACTCTTTCAGGGCTCTGATTGTGAGCTGCTCCTGTTCTAAGTCAAGAGATACCACTGGAGTCCCACAGGTAGTAAAACCATCCAGAAAGTCACTTCCATTTGTTTCTTTGCATTTTGCACTGTTTTTGCTTGAACTATTTGACTCACTCTCAGATGAGACTTCTACAGGAGAAGCTGGCTTCTGTGACAATGCTTCAGAATCAGTTCCTTCCTCTTTACCTAGTATTCCTTTCTCTCTGGTTTCTGTTAAGGCTGCCATCAAGTCCTCTGGGGAGGAATCATCTATGTCTCTAATATGATTTCCATATAATGACTCCAACGTGGCAGAAGCTGTCACATTTAATGAGAATTCTGTCTCACTAAAAACATTTGGAGGTGCTGTTGAAGGAAGTTTTGGGTTCTCAGTTGTAATGGGCTTTTCAGGAGCACCTTCACTCACAGCACTGGACTCTCTTACATCTTCCAACACAACATTCATATCAGGTATTGGTGAACACACTGCCTCACCAACTGGTCTCCTTCCAAGACTACCAGACTGAGTTTGATGTGGCTCCCTGACCAGCTCTTCAGTGCTTTTAGATGTTGTACTTTCTACCTTACAACCGGGAGTCTCTTTGATTTCATTTGTTCTTACAACAGCATTTGGAACAGAGAAAGGTTTTTCAGTGTGAATCCTATTTTCAAATGATCTCTCTGCTGTGATGTCCTCTATTACTGTGTCATCAGACTCACCAGAACTATCTGCCTCTGTGATTTCTTCTGGCACAGAGATCTGCCAGTTTGTTTCATCCTTCAGGATGTCATCAGGTAAAACCACTTTCACTGTGGCCACTCCAGAACCCAAAGAGACATGTTTCTCACATGGAGATCCAGGCAACTCTGGAAGTATGTCATCTTGTTTCTGTTTATCACCTTGTACATCTTTGACATTGACTTCTTTTGTGGAAATGAGATGGTCACTTACAGGTTTTCCAATGATAGCATTTTCTTGTGGGAGAGATGTGTCTTCCCAATCACCTGTGATTTTGGTGATAGATGTGCTCTCATTGATAGAACATGCAGGAATTTTCTGGTAAGTGTTTGTCCTAAGATTTACAACTGGGATTTCTGAATGATATTCACTCCTGTCAAGTCCTGCACTTTTTGTGGGGTAGTCAGAAGATTTATCAGTCTGTTGTTTCACTTGGGGAACCAAGTCCCAAGTCAATATTTCATTAGTAAAGTTATGTATATCATTCACACATCTAGACACCTCTTCCAATGCTGCAGTTGTGTGTGAAAACTGTCTAGTGAGTAATGCAGAGGATGGGTAACGCCCTGTCTCTCTATTTCTCAGTGGAAACACTTTGTCATTAGTCTCTGACATGTCTGCAGATGATTCTATATCAGTGTACACTGCCCAGCCACCCAAATCATTTGCGCTCTCCTTATATGAATCTTTAAATTCTCTGTCAAATGCTGCTTTGTCAATAATTACTTCAAATGGTGATTCAGGGGAATCTTTTTCTATAATACCACCACCTGAAACTTCAGAGGGGGACAAGGAATATGTTCTAGTGCCTTCTTCACTAGACTGCTCAGTGGGTAGTTTCTGGGCAACTGGCAAAGTGAACCTGTCATCAACATCCAATGCAGTTTTATCCTCCCTATTCAGTACCTGATTTGAGTTCTTGGAGTGTTGATCTTTATTTATTTGCTCTTCTACTTGACAGGCTTCCTTTAGGAGAAAAGCAGGATGCTCTGGGAAACTGGCTGGAATGGAAGGTTGATTACAAGGAACTCTTCCTGCTGCAAGAGAAACTGGAGAGTCTGCTCTGTCTTTGCAGGTCCCCTGAGGCTTTTCCATCTTTTTCATATGCAGTAGAAGAGCCAAGTGATCTTTTCCTTCTTTGGCTATAACAGGCTGGCTGCCTAACACTTCATTTTTTTCTCCTTGTAGTGTTGCAGGGTCAGAGTTAAGTGTTTCAGAGGATGAAAGAAAGGAGGAAGTCATAATTTCTGAAGGTGGCTCATCAGAGCAAAGAGAGCTCAATTCCACTATGGTCAAAATTTGAAAGAAAAAAATTGTTTACCAGGTACAATCACACATTAGCTAGTCAGGCCAAGCAGCATGCTTTTTATTTTTAAATTATACACAAACACACACATATACACACACGGGGTGTGTGTGTGTGTACATATATATTTATACAAACACACACAAATATGTAACAAAGCAATGATCAACAGTTATCTTACAAGACATGCATAAAATTGCCAACATGGAAACAGGAAAGCCATAACATGCTAAAAACTGCAAATGACAAAAAATTTCCACAACAAAAAATTTTTAATTAGTTTACTTTTCCCCCTGAAAAAGTGAAACATAAAGAAGGGTGATAGTATTGGAAAATTTGGGGTAGTTTTTTTCTTTTTGTGGGTTACACAACAGAAGCAACACAATCAATACAAAACAAATACCTTAATGCTCTGAAGCACTGAAATACTTAAAAAAAAAAAATCTTTATTTTACTTATTTTTATGTGGTGCTGAGGATCAAACCCAGTGTCTCATAGCTGCGAGGCAAGCACTCTACCACTGAGCCACAACCCCAGCCCCTGAAATACTTTTATGTGTAAGCTGAACAATTTAAAATCACACTGCCTCTATAAATCCACTGTTACATTCCCACAATCTGAGAAGGAAAAAAGAATGGTCAGAGTTCCTTTTTTTTGGTACCGAAAATTGAACCCAGGGGCATTTAACCACTGGACCACATATCCTCATCCCTTTTTTGTATTTTATTTAGAGACAGGGTCTTGCCGAGTTGCTAAGTAGCAGTGTCATGCCAAGTTGCTGAAGCTGGCTTTGAACTCGAAATCCTCCTGCCTCAGCCTCCCAAATCACTGGGATTACAGGCATGTGCCACCGTGCCCATCCTCATATTTCTTTTTGATCTTTAAGAGAGATAGCATCCCTTTCCTGAACCTGAAAATGAGATTAAAATTATTCTATTCTACCCCCAAGAAAGCTCTGTCCTGTGTATGAATAGCTTGCTCCCAAATCTCTTGTACCAACTTGCCATTTTAAGCAAAATTCAACAGTGCCAATTGGTTTCTTTGGTTAAGACAGAGTTAACTCCATCCAGAATTCCTTTTAAAATAAAAGTGGTGTATTGGAGAATGAAACTGACCAAGTTATACTGTTTTACTGTGTGCATGTACAAATCCTACTATTATATATAATTGTAAAATGCACCAATAAGGGGCTGGGGATGTGGCTCAAGCGGTAGCGTGCTCGCCTGGCATGCGTGCGGCCCGGGTTCGATCCTCAGCACCACATACAAACAAAGATGTTGTGTCCACCAAAAACTAAAAAATAAATATTAAAATTCTCTCTCTCTCTTAAGAATGCATTATTTCTATTATTGGTGCATTTTTTAACAGTTATTAATACCACTAGCCATTAATTTACCACATTGTTTCCTAACTTTCAAATCTAGCAAGTTTTTATTTCAGAAAAAGATAAAAACAACCATCGCAAGGGAAGGCACTGTCTGTCTTTCATGCACTCTGTTATATATGTTATATAACCGGAGCTGGAACAAAGTAGGTCTTAGATAAACAATTCCAAATAAATGAATTAAAGATTCAGCATATGAAATCTAAGTAGGCTCAGAACAGCAATGCCTTGAGCATGAATGAAGAATTGGGAAAACATCAAAGAGAAATTCTTTTGGGTGACCATTATTTAGCTAATGTTCTCTTTTTCATGTGAGAACCCGAATAATCATATTAGATAAAAGCAAAGTTCTGACCTCAAACTTATTAAATTGAAAATAAATCTTACAATAAATAAATTCTACTACTATAAAAATGTTTCCAAATGCTATATAGAGTTCCCTTACTTTGACATATCACTGATATTTGATGAAACAGGACCTGAGCTATGGCTCAGATCAATAGCTTTAGAATGATAAATAGCTCAGTAAAACTATAATCTGGGTATTAGAAAAAAGAGTCTTTATAGATGAAAAATTGCTGAACTTTGGTTGTAAAACTGTACTGCTAGGACAGAAAATATTTGAAGTAAATTATAATTCAGATTTAGTTCTAATGTAAGAAACACAGTCCCAATATTTAGCATGACAGGATTAAGAGTATACGATAAATGAAGCCCAGCATTGTGCATTAAAAAGTCCCAAAAGCTGAAGTTTTAAGTATTATCAACCACATTTAAATCAGAAATATTCTGAAAACTGGGTCATAAATTATTATTGGGGGACTGGGGTTGTGGCTCAGAGGAAGAGTGCTCGCCTACCATGCGTGAGGTAGGCATTGAACTGTCATCTTACAGGGTCTGAGTTGTGGCTCAGGAGTAGAGCACTTGCCTGGCACTGGGTTCGATTCTCAGCAGCACATACAAATAAATAAAATAAAGATCCACTGACAACTAAAAAATATTTTTAAAAAAAGGAGAGGGAAGGAAAGTAATAAGCAGAATCACTGGGTTCAATCCTTAGCACCACATAAAAATAAAAAAGATATTGCATCTACCTATAACTAAAAAATAAATATTTTAAAAAAATTGTTTTTGGACGTCATGGTCATTGTTTCTATCAGAAAACATTCATGGACCAAATCAGGGTTAAAGTAAAACTGCCTAGGAGTCCTCCCTTCAGACAGGAATGAAACTTTGAGGTGAGCAAAACTGATTCTACCCTACAGGGGTGGCTCAACTTATATGTTTTACAGAAATGGAAATTTCAGATGAACTGTCATCTTACAGATGAAAGTAAGAAAAGTAAATTAGTTATAATTCAACAAGTATTTATTGAGTGCCCACCATGTACTAGACAATGTTTTAGTGACTGCCTTTAAAACAGTGAACAAAACAGGAAAAAACAAAAACAAAACCTTGCATTTATGGAATTAAAAAGTGGGGAGGAGGGGCTGGGATTATGGCTCAGTGGTAGAGCATTTGCCTGGCACTAGGTTTGATTCTCAGCAGCACATACAAATAAATAAAATAAAGATCCATTGACAACTAAAAAATATTCTTAAAAAAACGAGAGGGAAGGAAAGTCATAAGCCGAATCACTAAGGAAAATAATGTCAGTGGCAGTGGTAGCAGTGCACCATGAAATGAAAATGAAATGGCACTGAAATGAATGCTGATAAAAGAATGCATCATTACTAGAAAAATAAAAAGACATGGTAAAAATGTTCTATGCTCTGGTAGGACACAAACTTGTCAGTTTATCAATTCTTGCTTTTCTCCTATCTTCCTTGAACTCTAGCACTCCAAAAGTTATGAATTAGGTGTAGAACAAGGTAAAAACTGCAAGGTTAGGTCAGAAGAAGCCCTATTCTCAGAGTACCAATGAGTCCATTACTGAGTACCATAACTGCCTGAACAACATCAAACAGTTTATTAAATATTCTTAAAAATGACTTCTATATGCAAAAATAATTTATTTTATTTTACAAAAATAATTTAAATCATGTTCCTTAATAATGATTTCCTATCTTACTGTTTGGGGTAGATAATGTTTTTTCTTCTCCCCCCACCCCTGTACTAGGTATTAAACCCAAGGGTGCTCTATCACTGAGTTACAACCCCAGCCCTGATTTTTGTTTTAAGAGAGGGTCTTACAAAGTTGCTGAGGCTGGTCTCAAACTTAAAAAAAAAGAAATTAAGTTGTAGGTGGACACAATATCTTTGTTTGTTTATTTTTATGAGGTTCTGAGGAACCCGGTGTCTCACATGTACAAGGCAAGCACTCTACCACTAAGCTACAACCCCAGCCCTAGTCTCAAACTTTTGATACTCCTGCCTCAGCCTCCCAAGTCCCTGGAATTACAGGTGAATGCCACCATGCCCAGCTAGGATAGTGTTTTTTTTTTTTTAAACATTTTTATTTATTTATTTATTTTTTTCAGTTTTCAGCGAACACAACATCTTTGTATGTGGTGCTGAGAATCGAACCCGGGCCGCACGCATGCCAGGCAAGCGCGATACCGATTGAGCCACATCCCCAGCCCCTAGGATAGTGTTTTCTGAGGGCAACCCTGGATGGTAAACAGAGTTCAATGCTGCATTCATTCCTTAGCGATTGTGAGATACAGGTGTAAATTCTCATTACACCCAGATTTTCCCACATGTAGCCAAAGAAGGTAACATCTCCATTTATGTTTTAATTTTAATGATCTTGTTTAGAATTTCAGCAAATGAAAAGAAATTCTTTTGGCTGGCTGAAACCCCAACAAACTTGGACACAGCTGACTTGTACCAAGACAAAGGAAAAAACTGGACTGGAAGTAAAAAGTTTATAAAAACACAAAAACATTAAGCAGAACAAAGACTAGAATCTAATAAGCCTTTTAAAACCACTCCTAAACCAAGATTCTTTCAGTTAGTCAGTATGGCCCTTAGTGGTCATTGGTGCTGTCCAAGTCAGCACCTGGAAAAATAGCAGAAAACCCTGAGAAACCTGAGGGTTATTAGTTTTTCAAATTCTATACACTATACAACTCCTTGGTGAAAACATTTTGGATTACTTTATGTCTCAGAAAATGTATATTACTTTTCCTGTATTTCAAAATATTTACTGTGGGCTGGGGTGTAGCTCAGTAGAAGAGTACTTACCTAACATGCATGAGGCTTTGAGTTCCTCTAGCATTACACACACACACACACAGCACTTCACATGCACTCAACAAACCACCAAAAAAGTCTCATTATGAACATTTCCTAAATGAGTTATTTGTGACAGTGGGATTTAATGTTTATATTATATATATATCTAATAGATTTATGATGTTGGCAGTCATAATCTAAATTTCTCTACCATTCCCAAGTAAAAAATTCTCATTAAAAGATAAAAAATCCTTTCATCACACTTATTGTCTGGCACTGGGTAAGTTGTTTAGTTTTACTTTTAAAAAAAAATGGGGTTATTAAATCACCTAATTTTAGAATTGCTATCAGAAGTAAATCAGTTAATACATGTTAGGAACAGTATCAACAGCTGGGCCCAGAGGTACAGGTTTATAAAT